TGATAGTTCTTTTGAAGTACAAAAGTTTTAAATTTTTAGGAAGTTCAATTTATGATTTTTCCTTTATGAATCATGTTGTTGGTGCCATATCTAAGAAATCTTTGCCTACCTCTAAGTCATAAAGAATTTTTCCTGTTTTCATCTAGAAGGTTCATGGTTATAGCCCTTACATTTTAATATAAGTTTGAGTGAGTTTTTGTGTATGGAGTAAAGTTTAATTTTATTGGCATGTGGAAATTCAGTTTTCCCGGTAGCATTTGTTGGAAATATTTCCTTATCAATTATGTCCAAAATGTAAAATTTCTGATTATTCAATTGTTTCATTGATAGGTTATCTGTTCTTAGGCAATGCCACACTACCTAAACTACTGTGAATTTTGCAATCAGGTGTATAAACCCCGTTTTTCTTCTTTCTTCAGAATTCTTCTAGCTATTCTAAATCTTATATTTCCATATAAATTTAAGGATTATATTATCAGTTTCTCTAAAAAAGGACTGCTGGGATTTTGCCCTGAATATATTGTTCAATTTGATAACTGGAATATTAAAAATATCCAGTCTTTCAATCCATGAACATGCAATGTCTCACCTTGGCAATGTTGTGTGGGGTTTTATATCCAGAGTTTTTATTTATTTTTCCCATTTTTTATTATATTTATTTTATACTCTGAAACTTTATTTTCATTTTTGACTGCTCACTGTTTGCATATAGAAATGGATTTGACTTTCATATACTTATTTTGTATTCTGCAAACTTGCCAAAATAACTATTAGTTTTATAAGTTTTTGTATATCTATTTAAGAATTTTCTGCTAATGGAATGGTTGGTACTCTCGCAACCTACTGTAAACATGTCTGCTAATTATAATCTATCTACATCTAACAAATGTAGAAAGAGATAAGGGCATATTAGGAGTTAGGTAAAAAAAAAAAAAAAAAAAAACAGGAGATTAGGCTAACTCCTTGACTTCTGATTTACATGAGAGGATAAGTTTTAGAGACATAGCCTAGGGATATCCAGGCTGTGTGCAAAATTAATTACTTCTATTTTAGATAAGTTTGAAGTACTTGCAAAGAATAGCTCAATCCTGTTTTTATAACTATAGGACATTATCTAAAATCTCAACATAAATCAAGTGCAGTGCTATAAAAATAGCCAGTGCAATTCAGGATATAACAAAAGAATCACATCCAGCTCTGGGAATTTATGAATATCCAGTTCTAATACCACAGTGTTAACACTCAGAGGCAATATTTGCAAGATAAAGCATAACTAAAAGGAGAACGGGGTAACACAAAGCCATGTCAAGTAAGAAACAAAGTATGTTACTGAAACACAAACTTCCCTTCAGAAAACTTCTTCAAAGTCCGCTCTATGCACAAATGCTTTGTGTATTGGTTTTCCAGAAAATTAAAAAGGAAAAAAAAAGGCCACAATACCATATTTGAATGAGCTTAAAGCATATATAGTAGTTAAAAGAATTTGACTGCCTGGAGAAGATATTATAGAAATATACTTTAAATCTCAACACAGATAGGCAGGCATGTCTACCTACCTCTTACTGATCTATTTATGTAAAATTATTAAATTTCTCAAAGAATGACAAGTAGACCTACCACTCAATCTAGCAATCCCATTACCCAAGGAAAAGAAGTCATCAAAAAGACATCTGTACTTGCATGTTTATTGTAGCACAGTTCACAATTGCAAAGATGTGGAATCAACCCCAGGTCCCAGCAATTCATGAGTGGATTAACAACGTGTGGTATATGTATGCAATGGAGTACTACTCAGCCATAAAAGGATGAACTAATCCCTTTTGCAGCAATTTGGATGGAACCAGAGACCACCATCCTCAGTGAAGTATTGCAAGAATGGGAAATCCACCACATGGACACTCTAATAAACTGTAACTGAGGAACACACATGTGTACAGAGGGAAATACATGCCAACCAGAAATCAAGCAGGGGGGAGGAGGGTGGACAAGAAGGGCAAAACCCTCCTAATGGTACAATGAACACGACTCAAGTGATGCTAATAGCCCTGACTCAATCACTTCAAAAGCTATCCATGTAATAACAAACATTTGTGCCTTCTTAGTATATTGAAATGAAAGATTATAAACACCAGAGCTACATTAAAATTACTCCCATATAAAAATTAAAAAAAAATTCTCTAAAGTACGAAAAACAGAACTAAAAAACAGGGAAGGGTTACTTTTTTCTTCTAAGGATATAGCACAAGTCTTATTAGTGAAAATAAGTCATACTTTTGGAGGAAAAAAAATGAAAATTCAGAAAGTTCATGTCAATTGTCCTGGGGTACCAAGGATGACAGATAGAACTTTTATTATATAATAGTATTGTTTCTTTAAATAAAACAGAAAATATCATTTATAGGAAAATAAACGTGTCCACCTAGTAATCCCAGGAGTGTATGAAGAGACCAAACAGACTTTAGCTCTGTTACTCTTCCTAATTTCAAAGAGATGAAGGCATGCTTGAGGTTTCTCTAACCACGTACCCAATTCCTAATTAAGATATAGTAAAGATAAAGTCTTGTTAAATGTAGATGGTCCATGACAATTTTTATACAGAAAATGTATACTTAAACTCCTAAAAGGCAATACAGGATTTATAACAAACTTGTGGGAAAACTATTACATTACAAAAAAAGGAAGGGACAACAGAATTACATATAGGTGTTTAAAAACCATGCATCATGTCACAATGGGGCTGTGTGAAATAGCTTTTAGTTATCAGTTATAACAACAGTGAAATCATCAATATGAAGCAGTAGTTTAAGCATTTGACATCTTAACAAGACAGTTACAAACATTCATTTTATGTTTCAGGAATAGCTTAGTAACTTGGCTGGAGGACTTCAGTAGCATATTAAGCAGAAAAATAATACTATTTAAATTATGAATCATGGGAAATTGGCTCCTATTTAAGGTTTTCAGAGGAACTGATCTGTAACTTCATAATGTCTGAGAGTATGCATATTATTTATTAGTATTCGTTTGCTATCTTTGCAGGCATCCAGGCAGCCCTTCTCTCTTCCCTCTCCTAACCATGTTCCTAACATCTAGGTATCACCCTGCACCACTACAACTCAAGTGGTTTTGAGAAAACCCAACCACAGCCTTGGAGGCAGGCCATGGCTGGAAGGGGGAGAATATCCCATTTTTCCCAAAGCAATATATCTCCATATCACTGATTTTTCTACAGTAGATAAACACAGTATTGGGGGATAAACTGCTGTTAAGGTATCATCCTCTGGAAGTGAATATTTTGTTCACAACCACCCAAATTCTAATTCCTTAACATAAAGAGAAAATTGTTCTTGCTGCAGTGAAACAGGAGGAAGGATTTGTGAAATTTTGGGATGATACGCTCCGGTTCGGTATCCGTTCAGCTATGAATGATCCCCTTTTTCCTTGTTGCCTTTAAAGATTCAACATTTTAATGGAAATAAAAAATTTTAGTTCTAAAATACAATTCAATGATTTCACTATCTTTAGGAACGCAATAGCACTAATGCTGTCAAGGATAAAGAAAACTGAGCCTGTCGACTGACCCCTGACTGGTCTGGATATTCACAGAACACTTCATTCCAAAGCAGAGAAACTATTTTACCATGAGAAGTCAAGACATCTATTTTACATAATTCAAACCCTTTACAACTAACATCTATGACATACTGCAATATAAAGTAAGTCTTGAGGGAAGGACAGGTGAGACACTGGCTCAGTTTCTTTTGTGTTACGCTAGTGAGTTGGCGCTGGTCTACTTCATTTGCGTTGTCTATTAGCACTTAGTATCAGCAAATTCTAATTTAGAGCTAACAGGGGTCCTCAAACTTTTTAAATCAGGGGCCAGTTCATTGTCCCTCAGATGGTTGGAGGGCCGGACTGCGGGCCCCGGGACGATTCGGCTGCTAAGCAGGACAGGCAGTGGTGTCAAAAATACCCAGTGGGCCGGAAAAATGTCCTAGGAGGGCTGCATGTGGCCCACAGGCCGTACTTTGAGGATGCCTGGCTTAGAATGTGGCCTTGTTCTTAAAAAAACGTTAGCAACTTTACTAGCTAATAACAATTCTTACATTTTGGCATTATTATGCATTAAAAAAAGACAGAAGATAAAAGTCCATAAAACTCATGTTCCTAATGAAGGAAAATCTAATTAGTATGACTGCATTGTACAGAGTTATCTTGGAATCCATATGTCTTTATGTTTAAAGTAGAACTTTTCAAATACATGTATTTCTATGACATACATTTCATATTTTCTTCAGCAATTTCACATCTGTGTAAGTCTTATGATCATTCTTTAATAAATACAAAAGAGAAACAATACTTACAAAATTTGGACAAATATGTTGCCGTTCATATAAACCATCCAGATTATTAGTTTAACTCATTCCATTATCACCAAGATCATTATAGAGCTGAATGTGGTATTATGCAGTAGCACATCACTGCCCTCTCATGGTATCATAATATATAATCTTAAATTCAGCAAACAAAAAACTTTATTGTCATGTAAAACACAATAAGTTAATTTACTATAAAGCTATAGTAATAGGAAATAAATTAGAAGAAATCGAGCGTTTGCTTGAAAATACTACTAACCTACAAGAATGTACAGGGTTCCTTCACATAAGCCGTTCAAATATTTAAGATTTTCCCTGATGATCAGTTTAAAGGCACTAACCTCAACAAGTTGAATCAAAAGTTTCCCATACAGTGTTTGAAATAAAAACACTCATCAGATGAAGTTGCACAAGAAGTAGTTAGATCATGTTCTAAAGGAAGGAGATGTAATAGCAAAATTTAATAAGAGAGACAAATACAGAATTTTTGCATGCAATGCATATGCATTCACTATTTAGGTTCATTTTTAACTACTAAAAAAAAAAAAATAAAAGGCAAATTATCCACTAACTATAGAAGAGCAGATGTGGGAACATAAACACTTAATGAAAGTTGTGGTCATTTTTAAGTTTAAAAAATAAATGCTTTTTCAATATTTTCAATATCTATGTAGCACTGCATGTCAGGACAATAATATTAAAAAGTCTGAATCTTTATTTATCCAAAGAAAGGGAATAAACTGAGGAAGTCCACTTGATTGCAGATATTAAACAGTTATTGGCACTGACTCTTCCACTCATGCTTTATGATACCGTCCACTAGAAAAAATAAAAATATAGACAGAAATGCAAATTTCGTTGAAAGGTATATGACAATATCCCAGTTAAAAAACAGACAAAAAGATTATAGAAATGCAACATAATTTTTGCGAATATCAGCTATTAACTTAAAATTTTATATTACAGTCAAAAGTCTGAAATAAGATGACCGTTTACCAAAAAATAAAAATTAAACACATTTTTGTTTGGAAAATGGCAGAAATTATTAAATAACTGCTTGGCAAGCTTATTTTCCTTGCTTGGGTTGAGAAAAGGGAAGAACTTCATGGGAAGTTCTGAAAGAGTCACTGGGTAGGGGCAGAGATATTCAATGGTTCTTGCGTAGTCTTTTCCTAGTGTATTCAAGGAATATCAGTGAGTGTTACATGTTCTTTAAAAATCTGTATTTTAAATCAGTTTTGAAAATTAGGGGGTAACTATAATAAACTTGCTTTTCTGTATGCAAGCTTTACTTCTTGTTCTTTTTACTTTCTAGAAGGGGATACAGTTATAATATACAATTTAGAAATTTTAAACTTTTTTTTAAGTCACCAGACTGTATTTTCTATAACATATCTCTGTGACTGGTGTTAAAAACATGACAGCAAGGATGCGCGATCAAATTAGATTACCTTGGTGAGGTTTCAAAAGTTCTGATGGCCAAATTGCACTTTCAGAGACTTGATCGGTATGAAATGGGGCCCACTGATCAGTCTTTTCTGAAAACTTTGCCAAAGACTCGGCACACAGCTAAGGTGGAGAGCCACCACCCCAGAGGTCTGCCCACCACTTCTGTATTGCTATGTCCTGTACTGATAGTACTCTGCTCCTGACACAGTCATCAGTCATCAGTCATCACATTGACTTCTTAACACAAGAGTGAAATTCCTCTTACGCCAATCATCCTGGAAACAGAGCTGGTCAGGAGATGAATACGTGGAAGACTTACAGGGAAAAAAAATGTTTTCCTCATATTATGGAATCTAGTTAGGAAGAATCTAGCTATTTTTTAGATCAGGCCAGGGAATGGGCCAGATAGCAGCTTTTTAAAGGACCCTGTGAGAAGAGGCTTCAAGGATTAAGTTAATTCTGATTTATAGTTTCCCTTTTGTTATCCCTGAACCACCAATTTTCACTTTTTTCTTTTTGAACTCCCAATGTCTGTGCATATGGTCCAGGAGAAAGGAGCATGGCCCTTGAAGCCAGAGTGGTGGTGGTGGAGGTGATTAGGAATATTCTAAAGAAAAATGGCCACACGGTGGGGGTATGAGAGGGAGCCAATCTTCCTGAGAAAATCCCCTGGCCACTACCCAGTGTCATGGCCCTGAGGGTCATTTTTATTAAGGCAGCTGGAAAGATTTCTTACAAGAACAGTACCCAAAGGCAAAAAGGAACTAAACCTAATATTGGGATTGTTATTCATTCTGAGCTCTTTTGAGGGAGATCAGAAGGAATAAAAGGCCTAATTTTTTAATCTATAGGCTTTAGAGTATAGAAGGTTCAAATTTAATTAAGAAAGCCCATTTCTTTCTCAGAGTTTAAAAGCTGATATTAAATTTATTAGGTTAGAACATGTAAAATAAGTATCTGTTTTTAACTAAATGCTGATTAAAGTCCCCTCCTGTGTGACCTCCTTACTCAGGACCTCTTCTTCTACTATGCTACAGACCTCAACATCATCTCCAGTCCCATAGTTTAATTTTTATAGTATTTAAGATTCCTATAGGAAGTACACCTGGTGACACAGATCGTTATCTTAAGAAAACATTGAAAGAAAGAATCTATATTTCTGGTAAAGATTTGAAAGTACCTAAAACCTATTTAATTTACACTAAATCTAGAGCAGGGGTCCTCAAACTTTTAAAACAGGGGGCCAGTTCACTGTCCCTCAGACCACTGGAGGGCTAGACTGTGGGCCCCAGGATGAGTCGGCTGCTAAGCAGGACAGGCAGAGGGTGCAAAAACACCCAGCAGGCCAGATAAATGTCCTAGGCGGCCTGCATGTGGCCCATGGGCCGTAGTTTGAGTATGCCTGATTTAGAGTGTTCCATCATGGGTTTATTAAAAAAAAAAAAAAAAAAGAAAAACCAAAATGATCACAGGTATTTACCTTCCTATTGAAACCAATTATTTTCTACATTGTTAAAAGTTCACCATAAATAAAAACCATATTTAAAAAAAAGAGTTCCATTCATCAAATGAAGTAAATTGTAATGGTAAAACACAGTCAGATAACTCTTATCAACTTTGCTTAGGACACTTCTGGGCTGCCTGCCTCATAAATTAGAGTAGCTATACCTGGGTTTGTTAGTGTATGTGTGTTAGTATAGTATGTGCTTTTGGAGCAAAAAAAAAAAACTTAATTGAAAAGGCAGTCAGCTAAAAAGTGCTCCTAAGTCATCGACAAATTAAAAATAAATGACTGAAACTAAGGACATTGGCCCTTCTATAAATATACTTAAGCATTTTCTTTAAAAATGGACCAAGGATAAATGTTCCTAACACAAAGAAACATTAAATGCCTGAGAAAATGCACACCCCGATTACTGTGTTTTGATTAATTCACATTGTGTGCCTGTATCAAAACATTCCATCTACCCTATAAAGATATACAACTAGCAATGCATCCATAAAAGTTAAAAAGAAAAAATGAGCCAAAAATAAAATCTAAATATCTGAACCATGATCTAGGTTTTATTAGGTAAAATAAATCCTTTATTGACCTGCTAGACTATAAATAGTCCAAAGTTCGGAAACCTGGCTTAACTTGTCTACCATTCTGTTATGAGTGTCTTAACTCTGTGATCCACTGGGAGTTACATGTGTCACATGCACAACTATGGGTCCTATGAGCCAATTTAACATTCACGTCATTATGACAGTGAGTGACAATGGAAAGATACTCTACACCAGCGGTTCTCAACCTGTGGGTCGCTACCCCTTTGAGGATCGAATGACCCTTTCACAGGGGTCACCTAAATACATCCTGTATATCAGATATTTACATTACGATTCATAACAGTAGCAAAATTACAGGTATGAAGTAGCAACAAAAATAATTATATGGTTGGGGGTCACCCCAACATGAGGAACTGTATTAAAGGGTCGCAGCATCAGGAAGGTTGAGAACCACTGCTCTACACCCACACCTGTATATTCTGTGGTCCAAATTCATATTTACATAATTATGATAGTGAGTGACCATGGAAAGATAAAGACTCTACACCCCACCTGTACACTCTATGGTCCAAATTCATATTTATGTAATTATGATAATGAGTGATGATGGAAAGATCAAAGATCCCAAATCAATGAGTAAAGAAATTTAGGCCATAAAACCAGAATGTATCCTGTAATCCACTTTACTAAGACTGATGTGCAAATGGAGATTAGAAATAATGTTTGCCAAAATGACACTCAATTTGGATGATTTTTACCTTTTTTACACTTCCTTTTGCTTGAGTTTTTGACATATTTAAGATTACTATTAAGTATAGAAGTATTAAAATATGATGTTCATACAATCAGAAAAATTATATTATTTACATTTTGAAAAACGAAAGCAAACCGATTCCAATAAACTGACACCACCAATTTATATACCATTCATGTTTTTAAATTACTTCAAGACGTATTTCAAAGGGAACTCATGGAGTGGATTCCTAAAGTTTTAAACAATTTAAATTAAATTTACATGTTAAGTAAATTTTAATTCTTACCCTAAGTCCACCTTCTGGCGGAGGACCAGATGCAGCAATTTGCTTTTCTAATTTTTCCTTTTTCTTTCTTTTTTCTTCCACAGATTGAGCATCCAAAATTCCCCGAGATGCAGCCTTCCAAAAATTTCATAAAGAGTATAGAAAACAACAACATCAGTACCCACTAGGCAAACCATGTTTTTTCATTTGCTTTTTGCTTTTCAGTTTTGTTTTATTTGGGGGGGGGGAGACGGTTACTGTTTTAGTTTATTTTTGGTAATAAAGAATTAGAATATTTCTACATAAAACAGCCTTACATAAAACATACTGCCATTTCTTCATTGGGTATTTTGCAATCATTTGAAATGTCCCCCTAAACTTGTTGCACATGTGACAGTATTGTATAAGACACGTCCATTTTATCTCATGGAAGAATGCTATTAAAGGACGTTCTCAGCCTACAGAAGATATAAGTTAATTTTTATATATTAAATAATGTAAATATATTCACATGCTTTAAAAAAACATGGAAGTCATTTTGTAAATGATTAGCTTTCCATATAAATGGATACACTATGGGACCCTATTTCCATTAGAGAACACACTAGCAATACAGATCTATAGAGAATGAAGTACTAACAAGTATCTAAGTAGGCAGAATTTTATTTCTTTTTTTTTTTTTTTTTTTTTTGAGACGGAGCCTCAAGCTATCCCCCTGGGTAGAGTGCCATGGCATCACGCTCACAGCAACCTCCAACTCCTGGGCTCAAGCGAGTCTCCTGCCTCAGCCTCCCAAGTGGCTGGGACTACAGGCGCCCGCCACAACGCCTGGCCATTTTTTGGTTGCAGCCATCATTGTTGTTTTGGCGGGCCCGGACCGGGGATTCGAACCCGCCACCTTAGGTGTATGTGGCTGGCGCCTTAGCCGCTTGAGCCACAGGCGCCGAGCCGCAGAATTTAATTTCTAATCTCACCTCCTTTTGTCTTCTCTCTGCAGCCTCTGCAAGCTTTGCTCTCTTCTCTTCCTAAGAGAAATGTGTAAAAAATATGTTTTAAAAATAAAACCAAAGATCATCATGGATGAATTATGCATCTGTATTTTATAGGTGCTGTAACATTTTACAAAAATATTTAGTACTGGCCTAAAATGTCCCACAAAGAATGCCACTTCAGAACATTCATAAAATACTCAAATTTCTGAATTTCATTTTCCTAATCAGTATAACCTCAAATCAGCACAAGCTAAGGTAAATAAAAGCAATAACCTTTCTTTAAATTTTCCACTTGCCTTTTACACAAAAAATAAGGCTAGCAAGCTGGTCAAGGTATAATAAAACCACTGATGTTTAAAAATACCATGAGGGAAATACATGCTTTGGTACTTTCAGTTGAAAAGGAGACTGAAACAAGTTGCTGTTTTCAGGAGAGGACATGAACTCAGTGGGCTAATCTCATACATCACAGGAAGGATTGGATTGAATTTATGAAGCACTTTTCCACGATGGGAAACAGTGAATATATTTCCTTGCTATGTGCTACTTAATTACAAAATAGGTAAGACGTTAAGTAGCATTTTCTTGAGGCTGACATTAATGATTTCTGTGTTTTCCATACCACAATACCTACATTCATTCATTGGACAAATACTTAGAGAGCACCAATATGCTTCAGGAACTTCTTTAGATGCTGGGAATACAGCTGTGAAAAAACCAGGCACAACTGTCGCCAGTCACATGAAACTTAATTTTCAAGAGTACAGAGACAAAGACACTCAAATAGATGTCTGTGGAGGGTAGAAAAGCCTTGGGGAAATAGACTAGGTAGATAAGTAGTGGGGGGTGGGAGGTTGCTATAGTGGAGGTTATATTTTATTTAGGGTGGTCAGGAAAAAAACTTTACTGATAAGTGACACCCAAGCAGTGAGCCACGTGGTTAGGGGTTATCAAGGGAAAAGCCTTTAGCACGGGGAGGGGGCAAGCGCTTAAAAAAACCTGAGACATTCTAAAACAGTCAGATAAATAAAATAAACACAATTTAAAAGCAACAGCCGCAACAAAGAGAAATCGAACTTCCCCCACATCAAGTTCCAGGTAATTTTCAGTACCTATCCTCTAACGGCTGAAAAGTTGACGTACTTCCTTAAATAACCCCATTTTCTTCAACTGATTTTAAGCTAGATAGGGGAGGAACTTAGTTTTTCTGCATTAACTTCCTGTAAAGAGTACGAATGTAAAGATAAAGTTAACATAAAGCTACAAAAGAGTATACATGAATACACCGCCTACTTAAATTTGACCTTCAGATAGACGAATAATTTTAGTATAAACATATGCTAAATATTTGACTGCACAAAGCAGATTTAAAAAGTATCCCTTGTTTATGTGAAATTCAAATTTAACTGGGTGCCCAGTATTTTTACTTGTTAAATACAGCAGCTTTACCAATTTTAGTCTGCACTCAAAACACTCATCTTTTTAAAGATGTAAACAGAAGAATGAGATGACCATTAAAGAGAAATCATTAATTAATAGGATGTCCAATAAAGCTCAGGAGTATAAGCGCCTTCATGCAGCACCTTAAACAGCTGGTACAGACACATGAAAATGCACATCTTCTAGAATATTAAACACTTCACAGTTCACGGAAAAAGAGAAATTTCTTTTTGGCACCGTTCTCTCCATCTACGTATCTGCAAGAATATCCGATAGGGCACTGTCTGCGTACGCCAGTGTCCTACGAATTTCCAATTTTGCTAAAGTCAGCGAAAGGTAAAAAGACGCTAGATCCGCCTTTGGATAATTGTTTTGTTGCAAAAATCCACAGACCTACACCGAGGCAACGGCCTGGCAGGACGCCAACGACCACCCGCTCTCGGCCACGAGTCCCCGCGGCCAGGGTGGCACCTGCGGGCTCTGAGGCCCGCGCCACAGGGGCCAACGGCCCGCCCGGGGCCTCCGGGCGCGTCCTCGAGGGAACAGGTGCGCGAGGCGCGGCCCAGAGGACGCGGAGAAGCGGGTCCACTCACCAGGTCCGGCGTCGGAGGCGCGGACTCTCCTGGGCAAGGAAAACACATCCCCATAAGGACGACTCCAGAAGGTCTCTAACCCGGTCCGCCCTAAACCAGGCGGCGCTAACTGCGCGGTGGGACTCGCGTCCCCGGGCTTCCACGCTCGCCCCGCCCCGCCCGGCCTCGCAGAGCGGCCCCGCCCCACCCCACCCCGCCTCCACGCGTACTCCCCGCCCCTACCCTGCCCTGCCCCCGGATCCGCCTCTCTGCGGTAACGCCCCCGCTTCGGGCGACTCCACTGTGTCGCCGCAGCTTGGCCCCGCCCCCTCCCCGGGGCCAGGCCCCAATCCACTCCCTCAAAGGCTCCACCGCCGGGGCCCCGCCTGGCCCCGCCCCGCGAGCGCCGGCCGTGACCAATGCCCAGAGCCGCCTGGTGCACCTGCTGCTGGCAGCGCGCGGGGAAGGGATGGAAAAGCTTGGCCGCGGTTCGCGCAGCTCTTCCCTGCTAACCTTGCCTGGCCATTTATAAACGAGTACAGAACTCTGGAAAGTTGATGCTACCTCTTTTGTAAAATGAGACTCTAGCATTCAAGAATTAAAGCCAAATTAACGTGGGCACACTTTGCTGCCTTCTCAGAGACGCTCAGTAATAAGCGTCAGAGGTGAGAGGGAAGAACGTCAAACCCATCATTATGTTTTTGAACCCAGTCACATGGGTTGATTTTTCCTCTGGTTTCTGGTATTTGGGATTCACTTCTCCTCCAAAACCAATAATAAAATTCTGTCTGTCCGAAAATATTTTAATGAAATATTTCTCAAATTTTAGTAAGTGTTACCTACACATCTGGTTAAAATTCACTTCCTGATTTAGTAAATATGGGGTGGGAGATTTATTTCTAGTAAACCACAGGTTCTGCTGAAGTTACTGATCTCTTCTCCTTACAAACACTTCAATTTGTGTGTGTGTGTATGTTCTATTAGTTATTCCTGCTTGTTGGAAAATTTTCAAACATTACAAAGAGGCAGGATTTAAAGTGACAGTTAACATCTCAGAATCGACTGTTAAAATTTTGATGTATGTTTTCACAGGTTACTTTGTAATAGATGTGTGGTTTACATACAATACGCACTAATTTTAAATTTACTGTCTTAAGCTGTGCAGAATTTCCATCACCATAAAACTTCTCGTATACCCACTCCCATTCAATACTCTGTTTCATACTGTGATGAGGAAACCACTCTGTTTAATGTCACTGTAATGTTTAAGAAGTTTCACAATGGCGTATACCGTATATAAATTCTGTGTATGGGACAATAGATTTGAGATTCTTGCATGTTGTTGTATAAAAAGGTGGATACTTCCTTAACCCTGAGTGTTATTCCATTTTGTGGACCTTTGTAAGGGTAAATACAAATCTATAAAGAAAAGTAAATTTTCTCTATCTACCTTTTTTTTTTAGCACTGGGTTTAGAAAACTTCAAATTGTAAGTGCTATCTGTCTCATTGAGATGTATGAAAATATTTTTAAAGCCTAAATAAGCCTCTTGTCAGTTTTATACCCTCAGAATATCTTTTGAGGGCTAAGTAGCCTTCTCTTAGAAGTGGAAATATCCAGAAGAGTGGGACCTGTCCCCTGTTTCCGTGAAAATCTATGGCTCTAGGCTGTAGCTTTCTGCTTGTCTAAAATTTTATTCTCTCCTTTACCTAAAGACAATTAACATGTGTTGGTGAATTATATCTTCTAGGCTATACGTATAAAGTAATGAGATTTCTTTTTCACTGCAATCTCTTTAGCAGATTACCACTGATACAAATTACAGTTTAATGCTTATTTAAAAATAAAACTATGTGTCTTCTGCCTTTGTGGGGAGGTTTTCTGCATCGCTGAAGATTTTTTAAACTATTATTAATATGGTTTTCATGATTTAATTATTTCCCAACACTTCCTATGGTCTGTTTATTCATTTTCCTATTAACAGGTATTTGGGTTGTTTCCAATTATTTTGCCATTATGAATATATGTTCTTGTATAAGTCTGTATGTGGACATATATTTTGATTAGTCTTAGGAAAATGCAGGTTTGGAATGTATTTTACAAACCTATGAGGTATCTGAGTTTATACCACGTTACTGTCAAACTTAGTATTTTCCATTTTTGCAAATTTTAGTCATTCTAATAGATCTGTACTGACATTTTATTGTGCTTTTATTCTTAAAGAAATTTTACTGAGATAAAAAATACAACACATCCTTGTTAGGTGTATGGCAGGCCCTTCATCCATGGTTGTCGCTTTCCACAGTTTCAGTTACCTATGATCCAACTGCAGATCAAAATATTAAGTGGACATTTCCAGAAATAAACAATTCATGAGTCTTTTAAGTTGCACATCTTTCAGAGTAGCTGATAAAAATCTCGCACAGTCCTGTTTTATCTCATCCAACATGTGGCTCTTCCCTTTGCCCAGCGTATGGACACTGTGTAAGCTACCCACCTGTTATCCTCTTAGAAGCCACTTCTGTTATCAGAGATTGTCTGTCACAGTATCACAGTGCTTGTCTCCAAGTAACCCTATTTGACTTAATAATGGCCCCAGTGTGCAAGAGTAGTAATGGTACCACACTGTTATCATTGTTCCGTTTTATTATTATGCATTGTTGTTAAGCTTTTATTGTACCTCATTTATAAATCATCTCACATGCGCAAACGAGAGTCTTCAGAATGAAGGTCCCAAAGAAACAGGGGATGTTGTCTATTTTTATGCTTAGGTTCAACAAAGTACAGACAGTCATGTAGAACTATGACCGGATAAAACCCAACCAACGGGGAAAACCCAGCAAGGCCCACCTGCTTAGATTATTCTTGGCTTCTGAGTGTGCATTCCTTCCTTCTGGGTATGGGGCAGTGCCCTTTCTAGAAAAGAGGTCTTATAGCCTACAGTCAAACAAGGAAGATCAGATAATTACTTTATGGTCAGTTTTTGCAAAGAATAATTTAAGTTTTGTGACTGGCTTTGAGAGGTAAAGGGGAAATTCATCATGATCCACTTTGGGGGAAAGGGGTTCTAATTTTTATGGCTAGAGTTAGAGAAGAATGGGGTTGAGAAGCAAGAGGGCAGGAGAACATCAGAGAACCTTTGCTGCCCAGGCCTTCATTTGGGGGCACTGTTTTTCTGAGCCCTATCACCCTGATGTTTTCCTTAGCTTGACAACTTTAGATGAGGTTCTTCCTAAATATTGGCCTCTGACCTTCCTCTTTTTAGACCACCTATTTGTAACACTAGCAATTTTAAATTCAAAATCTTCCCCTAGTCATTTACCAGTTTTACAACCCTGTAAGTATCCTTCTCCAGGACCTGGGTGTCATCTCTTTGAAATGCAGTAGTTAAGAAAGATAGCATCCTGAGCACTTAGGAGCCTAACTTTCCTAAGCACCAATCAGCAAATCCAGAGGGTCAATAATATTGGCCAACCTCCTCCCCTAATATCTTACTGCACTTTCCCACTAGGTCTTCTCAGTGCTTAAAATCTCTCCTGCCTTCTATTTCAGTGAAATAAAATCTTCCCCTTCTCCCCTGTTACAATAGTCTTGAGTTAAGTTCTTCTCTTCCCTTTAACTCTATCAGGTGTTGACTTTCTCTGACATTACTTCTGCTTCTAATGATTGTACGTACTCATGTATGCACCATAAGAAGGCAAAATATTTTTTATTTCCCCCAAAGCTTACCTTAGGTCACTCTTTCTTCGTTCCTTGTGTCACTTTCTCAACAACCTACAACCTCCAATTCCACCCTAGCCCAAGACAAATGCTGGTTTGCTTCCTATTCCTACAGATTCACTATTTTTGTAGCGATTATATAAATAGAATTATATGTACTTTTAATCTAGTTCCTGTCTTTCTATATACATTTTTGAAATTCATCAATGGTATTGTATAGATTTTTTTAAAATAATATTCCATTTTAATAGACATTTTAAACGTCAGTCTACCTAATGTACTGACGCATGGACTGTTTTCATTTTCAGGCTGTATTATAAACAATGCTCTAAAATAGTTTTATGCAATTATTTGTGTCAACAAGTTTCTTTTATACCTCTTGATGGAATGCTCAAGAGTAGTATAACTGAGTCATATTTCACATGTATGAACAACAGTTCTGGATTCTTTTAAAATTATAGGGCCTGTCCTGTTTCCATTCACATCAGAAACTAGACAGTACCCATAGTTTCTCATCCTAGCCAGCACTTGGTATGGTTAGTCTTTAATTTTACCAACTCAGATGGCTGTATAGTGCTATTAATTTGTACTTCCAACATTTTCGTGTACTAATTGCCATTTGTATATCTCTTGTTATTTCAACTGTTTTATTCATTAATTTGTTTTTTATACCCCTTGATTTAGTGCTAACTTTTAAAATACTTTCTGGATGCAGGTTCTTTGCCAGGTATGGATATTGTAAATATTTTCTCCCGGTATTTGACTTTTCTTCATTTTGTTAATGGTTACTTTTGAATAAGTTTTAAGTTAAAAAAAATCAAATGTTTTATCCATGGATTTTTAGAATTGCATTATCATATGTTTATGAATATAGCTATAGAATTGCATATTTCTAAAAAAGGGTCTATCAGCTATTTTAAGTTAACTTCTGTTTAGGTGGTGAAGTAAAGTTTAATGGTCATATTTTTCTGAAAGGATAATCAGTTGTTAAAGTGTGCTTTTTTAAAACAACCGTCCTTTCCTCCATCAACTAATTTTGTCATCTTTGCTTGAAAATAAATTTGCCAAATACACACGGGGCTATTTCTAGACTGTCAGTGTGCCTGAATTACTTCCTGTTTATTCTTACACCATTACCACACTGCCTAAACCATCGTATCAGCCAGTGGTTCTCCACCTTCCTAATGCCGTGACCCTTAAATACAGTTGCTACAAGTAGCAACGAAAACAATTTTATGGTTGGGGGTCACCACAACATGAGGAACTGTATTAAAGGATCGCAGCATTAGGAAGGTTGAGAACCACTGGATAAGCTACGGTTTGAAGTAGATACATCTGTCCTTCAGTTTGGTTCTTTTACAAAATTGTTTTAGCTCTTCTAGGACTTTTGCGTGTCTGTATAAATTTAAGAATAGCCTTTTCAATTTCCACACAACACACACACCCATACACACACACACAAACCCCTA